TCACTCATTTCTATCCAGGTTGGTGACCCTATCTCAAGCTTCTCCCTTTCCAGAAATCAGGCACCCACAAAGTCCAAAGTCACTGCAAAGGTCTCATGAGCATGGATTCAGGGCAGAGACAAACTGCCTTGACATCTTTTTGGCTCAGGGTTAAGTCTTACTAAATTATTCCACTTCATACTTGGACAAAAATGGTTCATTTTCTCCAGGGTCAAGACCCTTCTTGATGGAAGTTTTGCCTCTTCAACTTGCAATGGATTTGGGTGGTTTTGGCCATTACCCACAACTCTCTGCCAGCACATTTTGTTTTAGTTTCACGTCCTTTTGGCTACAGTCAAGTCTGGTTTTATCCATGGAGCCAGTTTGTCTAAGATGAGTATGTACAGTGACTCAATCACCATATGTTGACTTTATTAGAAAACTCAATGTTCTGCCAAGACTAAGCAATCTTAGTTCCAAGGGACCTTTCCGATGGATGAGATCTATCCTGGCTCCATCAAGCACAATGGGTTTGTAATGTATTTTTATTTTCCTCCCAAATTTCTCAGTTCTACTTTTGGCTCATATCATGGTCTTTCAAAATCTGAGATAAGTCACCTGATCTCAGAAATTATCAATTTCTCCTGTTGACTAGGTCTCCAATGCTTTATGCACTTTCTCGCATTTAATTGACCACTTCCACAGCAAAGCCCATTTGTATATGGAGATCTCCTCGGCTTCCTTCTTACATGGGAGTAAATAAATACTATCACTAGGTGGCAAAAACAGGAGGTGAAGGTTCAAAGTGATGGCAACAGGAAGAAGGAAAGGGTCAAATCTAAATGACGACTCTTTTATGAAAACTGATAGGACATGGTGACTGACTTAATAATGACAAAGAAAAGGAAGAAGGAAAAATATTCTGAGAGTTTGTGTCCAAGGGGTGATAGTGAGTGCAAAACTTCAGGCATGCTCTAATACTTCAGTTACACTGGGGACAAGAAAGAGACTTACAATATCATTATAAGTAGCTCAGAATACTGTAGTGGGACTGGTTCCTAGGTTCACTGAGGGGACCAACTGACACTGGCCTCCACTCTAGATCCATTTATCATTTCTGAATTTAGGGTAAGTTTTCCTCTTTTGTCTTGATAAAAACAAATTCTTTTGCCTCATCTCAGTGGCTAAGGGGAAAGCAGGCTCTTTTTATCTAAGAATGGAATTCAGTTGCATGAGCAGTGCTGGTTTCTTCTATGACTGTACCAGGTAAATCATTCACTGGTAATATGGCAATCTAATCAAGGCTGGTTGTCTACGGCCATACCACCCTGAACGCACCCGATCTCGTCTAATCAAGGTTGGCACATTTGGTTAACCCTTAGGTTTGAAAAGATTTCAAAGGGAACCAAGTATATAATGATTGGCACAATTTGACACACTATAACCTTAAATTACTTTATGTTCATTGAGGTTTGTTCTGGCCTAGCTGCTATGAGACAGGCTGTAGAGGTACACAGCGATAGGACCTGAGTTTCAAGTCCCGAAATCTCTTTGAGCAGCAGATCCTAATCTGCAAGGCAAGGTGTCACTCCAAAATTCTAATGCGATACTGAATTTAGGAAGCTTTTAATGTACAGTCAGATTCCAACTCTCACCACCAGATGCCACTGTTGTTCATAACTAGAAATTGGTAGTCATCTCTGGTAACTCAGCAGGTGGGTACTACCACCCCCAGTGAGTACCAAAATCTAATGCTCAAGTCTCTTACATAAAAGGTATAGTATTTGCAAATCATCTATGCACACCTCCCCCCATATACTTCAGGTTATCTCTAGATGACATATAAAACCTGATACAATGTAAATACTATATAAATGACTTATTGTTAGGGATTGTAACAAGAAAGGCTGCACATGTTCAGTAGTTCACTACAGACATAAATTTTTTTTATGAATGTCTTTATCAGTGTTTGGTTCAATCCATGGATGTGGAACCCATGGACATGGAGGACCAATCATAACTTTTTCTAAGGACAGTAGGATACTGAATGTTAAAAAACAAACAAAAAACCCAATCTAATTAATTCACCAAACACTTATTAAACATTTATATGAGCCAGGCTGCTTTGGATGAAAAAGACAAGCGTGTCCTCAAGCAGGCAACAGGGGAAGTAAACATGGAGCGAGCATTCACACACAGCAGCGCTCCATAACACCCAAAATTAAGCCAAGAAATATCTCAACATACTGTCTCCTTAAAGGAGAATATTGCTTCCTCAGAGAAACCTGCTTCACCCCAACCCTGGTCTAATTCCCTCAGCCAGATGATCCTGTTGCTTTGATACCTAGTTGACATCATGCTTTGTTGTAATCACTTATTTTATGCCAGCCTTCCCTCCTGGACTTTAAATCAAGAGAGGGCATTTCTCCTGTGCTGCTGTATCTATTCCTAACACATAAGGGTAATAGCAACCATCTGTTGAGTTTACTGATACATCACATGCTATGCTAAGTCCTTTATTGCATTCAACTCTAACAATCCTCAGGCACCAATATTATCACCATTTTACAGACGAGAGAAAAGCATAGCTATTTGGCTTGGAGTGACAAAACCATGAACCTAGGTGTCAGTCAATTAAAAATAGTACCAGAAAGCAGACATCATTAAAGTAGGGAACAAAAAGGATAAATTTCTGAAACTTGTTTCCAAATTTGCTCTTTTATAGAAAGCTTGTTTTTCATGAAACAACTGTTAGGACTGCCTATGAACACCTTACATGTCCATTCAAAGCTGAGCTGATAGTTTTAGAGATGTCTTACACTTTTAAAGCATTTTCATAAAGAGCCACACAATGAACTACCAGAAGTTATTTAGTTCAAGCTCTCATTTCATAAATAGGAAAAGATTGAGAAAACTGATTTCAGGTTACAAAATCAGTGGTGAGTTAAGACCATATTGCAACCTCTTACTTAATTTTACTAATTAAGATAATTGCTATCATTCCAGCAGGAGTTTCTCACAAGTCAACACTGCAAGCCCCAAACACTTCTTGGCATTTACCACATTTACTTAAGATTTCTGGGATTTTTCTAAAGAAAATGCTTCAAAAGAGCAGACTGGTAGTCTTCCTAAAAGAAAGGACAATTCCATCCACCCAATCTAAACTGGGGGGTGAGGAGGAGAGAGCTGTAAGTATTCAGACAATTCTAGAACATAAGGGAAAACAGGCTGTTAAGCCTGACTGCCCAGGTTCCACTCCCAAACATACAATCTCCTCTAATATGTGACCTGAGCAAGTTACTTCAGCTGTTCATGCTTCAGTCTTTTCACTAGTAAATGAGAATCCTACAGTTTATTAGGAAGTTTAAATGACATTACAATTGACCCTTAGAATCTATCTGTGGGTTTGTGTTTCCAAGGAAACCTCCACTGAGGAAAACCCACGAATGCTCAGGATGCATAGAGCTCAGCACTGTACTGTGAATGCTTGATTCATTTTTTCCCACCCAACTCCTGCTAAAGACATGCTACCTTTCAACAAATCTCAAGTTGTCATTTCATCACTTAAATTAAGCACTTTCACTTTTACTTGCTTTTTGAACACCATTTGCTTCTGGGGAGGCAGGTTTTCACAAAATTAAGGGCAGGGAAACAGCAGATCACACAATGATTAAAACACAACTGATGGCAACGCAAGACTAACTGAGAGCTTCTCTGTATCCACTGAGCTGTACACTCAGGAACTTTGCTTTTTTTCATTCTTTTTTTTTTTTTGGGACCATATTTAGTCAAAACCACATGTAATAAACCCAGGAACAAATTGGGCTCTGTATACATCAAAAGTTTTTAGAGCAAATAATGAATGCTCAGTAAATGTTTTAGCTATTATCTCTATTTGGTAGAGTAGAAATGTTTAACTGTGCTTCTTACCTAAGGCACAAAATAGTCTATTTCCTTGGAACCTAACTTTCATGCTACTCTGAGGAATGATTTATTTTTCTAAACTGAAATAAATACAGGACATTTGATTGGTTCACCCACTTTAATAACAATACATATACCATGTTACCATCATGGAATGTAAATTCAGGTTAGACAAAAGAATTTTTACAAGTGCACCAAAGCATTCTGTAGTATTTCAAAGTTTGTATAGAATGTTTGACCAAACCAGCTTATTCATAATCCATTAATGACTGCCATTTTAGGTAGTCTATTTAAAATTTATGATTCTTCTAGAAGAAATATACTGCCCACATTTAAAACTGTTCTGTCTTTGCCTTTGTATTAGTACTTTAAATACCTTTTTCTGGGTTGGGGATGTAGCTCAGTGGTAGAATGCTTACTAGTATGTGTGAGGCCCTGGGTTTGATCCCCATTACCACAAAACAAAACAAAAAATATCTCTATTATATCAATATGACATTAAAAATTATTCTAATATAATACCAGCAAAAATACAATTCTGCAATTATAAAAGAGCTAAATTGGAACCGTAATTAAATTATTCTCACGTTTAGAAGTTGGATTCTAAAATACTGCCTCTATGCAGCTTTGTTATAAGCTTTTCAGATTTGGTTTAAACACAAATACACACACGCACACACTTTCAGTTGTGAGAAGATGCATAAATTATAGTTCATGCACTTACATGAAAGTTTTTCAGGAGGCAGTAAAGTCTAGACTGAATTTCTCAAAACAGTTCACATGGTAGGCAGAAAAAAGCTAAAGTAATTGAAGCAAATGGGATTCCTACATAATATACAAAGCTTGTGACATCCTGCAGCACATGGGAAGCACTTCAGGGCTGGCCTGCTGTCTTCTTTGGAACTAATTTTGTTATAAGGGTTTACAAAGGAGGACATTTTAATACTATCAAGTACATTTAGATGACATGTTTCTCTGTGTTATCTTGATTCCCGAGTGACCAGGTTAGCAAACTAGTCACTAATAATTTGGTCACCAAGCAAGTTAAGCCTACAAGAAAAGAAGTCATTATTCAAAATATGGTGTTATTGTCTGAATCCACTCAAATTATTTATTTCTGACACAAACACATAACCTCAATATGAGATGTCTAACTAAAGCAAGGACTTCCAACAAGACCGGGACAGCATTTCTTCTTCTAAGGTTTAGGTTTTGCCCAGAATTCCCGATACATGGAATAGCCCATACCTAAAGAAAAAGAATGCTAGGTAAGCATTAAAATAGTCTCTTCAATAAGCAAACACAAAGGAGTTTGTAAAACAGCTAAAAATAGCACCCGTGCTACTACAGAGTACACGCAGGAGATTACAACCCCAGGAGCTTACATGCTAGGCTTCTTAAAGCATTTCAATTTCTAAAATTCCTTTTATACAGAATTATCAAAGTTGCTCGAAGGCTAATATGACAAGGTCACGATGCTACAACACTTGTTTTATACAACAACCAATAGGTACCTGGCAACTTTGGAAGGAGGCATTCTTAATACATAAAACCAGAGCAATCATATTTTTTTTTTCTCAGAAAATGGATCTTATTACCAAGCTTATTTGCATATCTACTTAAAATTAGAAACTCAGTCATGGGCAGGATTAATTTTAGTTTCTTTCTTTAAAATCTCAGTAGAATATATCATAGACAATAAAACTATGTCACTACTTAAATTATTTTTATTAATTAAGTTTTCATAGGAAAAAGAGTAAGTGACATTTTCAAATTTAAGGTGACATTTTAAGGTTAGCTAAAAGTATCTGCCTTGATTTGTTTATAAAGAAACGCACTAATGGGGAACCACAAATTTGAAAATTTCCTGCTGGAACCTACCAAGAGTCATTGCTCCCACAACGAAGCCTTGGGCTGCCACACGCATGTGGATCAGATGAATGGACATTTTTGTATTTCCTCTACTCTTCAATTTGTATAATCCATATGCAACAATTGCTGCAAAACCTGCCATTCCTATAAAGCAAACAGTCACAAGTATGTTAATGCAACGGGGGGTGGGGGGGGAAGCGAGATGATTTTACCATCCGTAAATTACTTCCGATTATAAGATTCTTTATCAAACTGTGAGTTAACTAACATGCAAAGTTTCTAAGTTTCCCCCTCAGAACCAGAAATGTAAAACTTATAGCAAACAGTAGCAAACGCAGAAAGTCAAGATTATCTTTATAAGTGTGGGTTTTTGGAGTAAGTAGACAAATTCTTTTAAAAGAGTACCAGAGAAGGGCTGGGGATGAAGCTCAGTGGTAGGGCAGTTGTCCAGCATGTACATGGCCCTGGATTCAATCCCCCATCACAATAGAGTACCAGGGAATTAGGAGGAATTAAGCTAGTGTATTAGAACCAGTGTGCAGAATGTCTTGAATGGTTAACTCTTCCTCTCCATCCTACTTCCTTCCCTGAATGTAATCAGTTAATATAGCAGATGCAATCACATGTTACCATCACTGAGAGACACATCTTGCCCATATCCTTCAAGGTTTGAGACACTGCACTAAAAAGACTAATAAGTAGAGCAAGACCAAGGAGAAAGTAACAGAGCAATGTTAAGACTGTGAATTAAAAGGATTATGACCCTAAAACTCTATACAGAGCCAAGCTCTTATTGATTTCAAGGGCAAAAATCATTCAGGACATGACATTGCACATTTTCAAAGTACACCACTTATGTACTTTATTATATAAAAACCTACAGGAAATATTTCAAATGAAAAAAGTAAGTCAAAACAGAGAGCTCAAGAAATAAGGATACAATGTGTGCAATATAACGATGAGAAATGGAGCTGGTCAAATCCAGCAGTACGCCAGTGGCTCACGCCTGTAATCCCAGCTACTCAGGAGGCAGAGATAAGGAGGATCATAGTTCGAAGCCAGCCTAGCAAATAATTCAAGCGATCCCATCTCGAAAAAATCCTTCACAAAAAAAGGCTGGTGGAGTTGCTCAGTGTACAGGTCCAGAGTTCAAGACCCATACCACAAAAAAAAAAAAAAAAAAAAAAAAAAGCTATTAAAATCTATACTGGTTCTGTGAAAAATAAGTGTAATATAGAAAAGTTATTAACTGGAATTAAGATTATGATTATTACAACAAAAATATATGCTAAAAGTCTTACCTTGAGTTAGGGAATAAACTTATATTCATTTTAAATACTTTAAATAAATGTAACCACCATCAGTACAGAATACCTGTAGAACTACCAAATCATTGAAAGAAAAATTAAAAAGAGGAAACAGTAAGTAAAATAAACAGAAAACATTCATTAGGGCCAGGCCTGGTGTCACACGCCTATAATCCCAGTTACTTGGGAGGCAGAGACAGAAGGATCATGATTTATGGCCAATCCAGGGAAAAAGTTAGTGAGACCCTATCTCAACAAATGAGCCAGGAATGTTGATACATGTCTATAATCCCAGTGACCTGGGAGGCAGAGACAGGAATATCACGATTCAAATCCAGTCTAGGCAAATAGTTAGTTAGATCCTATCTCAACAAATGAGCTAGAAATGGTGGTACATGCCTAAATCCCAGTTGCTCAGAAGGCAGAGGTAGGAGGATTGCTATCCAAGGCAATTCCAGGAAAGACTCTATCCATAAACAATCTAAAGCAAAAAGGGTTGGGATGTATGGCTCAAGTGGTAGAACACTTGCCCAGCAAGCTGGAGTCTGAGTTCAAACCCAAGTACCACCAAAAACAATAACAACAACAAAAAAAAAAGAGAAAAAACATAAATAGTAGAAATAAAACTTAGAGGACTTAGGCTGAATGTAGGTTAACTTCCTCTAGTTTGCTTAAAAAACAAAAACACCTGGACACATGCTTTGTATAGGAGATACAAATGGAAGGATGGGCAATGTGAAGACTCGGCCATGTAAGCAAAGAGAAAGCAAGAATATCAACAGTAATGAGTATCAATGAGGGATTCTAGGAAAGGTGCACTGATTGTGTCACACATACAGACGATTTATAAGAAGAAGAAGGCTAACCCATAAAAGCTCTCAATCAATACAGCAAACAAAGCAAAGATTATCAGCAACACAAGCACACTATTAGAAGATAAGCAAAATGGAAAAAGTAAGATGACTTCTAGAACTACACAACTAAATGATATCAGATAACCTTACTAAAATTTTATATTCTTAAATAAATAAAATTTAATACTTTAAATATTAAAAGACACCACGCATTTTTTTCAAATATCTATGCAACTTCAACATATAATCATTCATTAGGCCACAAAGAAAATTCCAAATTTCAAAAAGGCTGAATTTCTAGAATGCATAATATAAAACCAAAATTTAAGAATTAAGATATAAAATAGTAATACACATATTTCTATATATACCCTAAGCACTGAGAAGTTAAGTGCTTCCAACTGGGTTTGGATATTAAAGTAAAAACTGAGAGGTTAGGAAAACTGAAACAGCTATATTAGCATCCAAAGGAAAAAAATACTAGTTCTTAGAATAAACAAAACAACTGCCACACCTCTAGAAAGTTAGGCCCAAAAGGGATAAAATAAAAATGCACCATTAATAATGAGAAAGAGGATTTGAGAATGGAAATACTAGAACGTGGTACATTGGCCAATTTTCATCCAAATATTTTGTGTCCTTAAATAATTTTGTAGTTTTAATTTCTCTAGGGCTTGCAATTCCTGGATTTTCTTTTCTTTTTTTTTTTTTTTTTGATGCATTCGTGAAAGTAACTTTCTAATGGCTTTTCATTTAATTTTCCTGGAATTCCTATATAGATAACTGCATAAATGCAAACCAATAGTGTTTCTTCTTAAAGTATGTCCTCAGCTTTTTTCATGTGTCAGTAACTGTTTAGGAACTTCAAGCAACAACAGCAGTATTCACATGTATCCCTGTCTTATTCCTAACTTTAAAGAGAATGCTTCTAGTGTTTCAACACTAAGTATAATTTGAATTTGCTTTTGGTTTCTAGAATAAACTCTTACAATTTGCTGATTTTAAATTTCCTAGTAAGATGATCATAGCTGTAGGTTTAATGTGTGTAAGGCCTTCAGGGCACTGCACGCCTATGTGACTGACCTCAGTAAAACCTCAACACCAAGGCTCAGCAGACTTCTCTGGATAGCAGTACTTTGCCTGTGTTGCCACACATCATTGCTGGAAGAATTAAGTATACCCTATGGGACTCCACTGGGAGGGCACCCCATACACTTGTGCTTGGTTTCTCCCAGACTTCATTTCATATTCCTTTGTGCACTTCACCTATATCCTTTTGCTATGATAAACATAACCATAAGCATAAGAGGTTTTTTGTTGTTGTTGAGTCTTTTGTGTCTTGGCAAATCATAGAGCCTGAGAGTGGACTTGGGATCTCCTAGCACATTATTCACTGAAGTAACAGTAAATAAAACAGGGTATCTGAAAATACACATTACAATTCTTGTGATAAGATCTACATCATGCCAATCTTAACATACTTCAACAAGATGAGAAAAAAACTGAAAATAAATTATTTCAGGATATGGTTGATAAACAAGTTTATCATGCATCTATTGTTTCAAGCTTACGGCAAACTGGTTATTAGAATATCAAAATTAGACTTACCAATAGGGACAAATGGTGCCTCTTTAGCTTTTCGGATAAACTTAGATCCTTGATCTTCATCATATGAAGAAAGAGAAACGTCTGTGTTGGTTGACATTATGACTGCTTGAAGAATCTTCCTGAAAGAGAATTTCTTTGAGGTCCTGTAATTAAAAGCATTTAGAGCACTGCTAACCTGAATGGATTTAATATTCCTGTTTCCATGAAACCTGATGTTATCCATCAACTCAAAAAAAATTAGAAATTAACTGTATTTTTAAACTATAGCCTTTAAAGAGAGTTGAAAATGTTATTAAAGAGAGTTGTAAATATTACATCATTTTGCTTTTTCTCCCATACAACCAATTTCTTTTTAACATCATATTATTAAAAACAGTACATTTTTTAAAAAACTGAAATTTTATCAATAACAATAGTAGCTATTAATTTTTCAGGCTATCTCCATCCTTAGTCAGCTTCAATTTGACAATTTTCAGTTATTCAAACCAGTATACCTCCTACTGCCTATTCAATGGAAATCCTATTAAGCCTTTTTTTAAGTGTAGTTAAACACAGGGTTTATTGCTCTCCCTGTGGATTTAGTAACTCTGACATGCTACCTGGCTTCTATTCTCAACTTGGAATAGTTCCAATCTGTTACACTAATCTATATTTTTGATGGTGGTTGTCTTTTGGGAAAAGATCACAGTTATTCTAATAGCCAAATCTTCTATCCAGATTATTCTTTTACAGACATATATTAAGTAGGATTGCTAGAAGTGGCTCCTTTTGAATAGACTTTATGTTCAGTTGAACATAATACAACCTTTTTTAATGACCTGGGATAATTTGCTCCACCAAGGCCTTGTGCATCCAAGGCAAGTGCTCTACCACTGAGCTACAGCCCCAGCCCTGGGGTTTTTATTATTCATGTCACTGTACTTACCTACCTTTCTTTACAGATCTTCCTTACATTTCCCAGGTTTCTTCCTTAAAATTTTCTACTTCTTTTCATAACATTATTCCTTTAATTGGTACCCAAAAAGGCAAGAGACTGGCCTGATAGTTATATGAATAAGAGGTCAGGGTAAAATTTCATTCCCATTATCATAGGGAGTAAAGGTTCCTTTCTCCCTTTCACTCCTCTTCTCTATATAGGAAGTTTATAGACATTTTACTACAGTAAGACAGTAACAAATTCAATTTCACCTGTCACAATAACTGTGTATACTTCGAAGAACAATTTTGAACTGCTTGTGAACTTTACTCATAAGGTAAAATAAGGAAGTCAAACGGTATACAGAGCACCCATCTCTGATAAGTTTCAATTACAATAAACTCAAAACTCAATTGCCCCTCCTATTACCCTTAGAGAACCTTGCATTCACGTCTGGATTTTTTGTGTGCATCCTGCTGCCTTCAAAGAAAATGTAGCTCTAGAGAGGTGACAGGGGTGGTGGCGTGTTTAGTTTGAAAAGTGAATTCTTCCCTCCAAACCTCCATTGAGAAGAGTCAATCCTGACATTTAAGAGAAAATACCTTGGCTAGATAGGAGACAATTCAGATTAGAATTAAATCTCTGTTTCCTTTTCTTTTTATTCTCCATTATTTCCTAACTTAATAAACGCTTACTGAAATTTTATTATATACAAAGTTCAGTAAGTTCTAGGCTCAGGACCTTACTATATTTGCAGCGATAAAACAAAGACTGAGCTGATGGACTGGCTCAAGTGGTAGAGTGCCTGACTAGCAAGCATGAGGCCCTGAGTTCAAATCTCAGGACTGCCAAAAAAAAAAAAGTAAAAAATACCAAGTAACAAATACTAAGGAGCCAGGCATGGTGGTACCCACCTGAAATCCCAGCACCCAGGAGGATGAGGCAGTCTGTGCTACAAAGCAAGACCCTATCTAAAAGAAAAGACAAAAACCACAAACAAAAATACTGAAGTAGCTAATGATTAAGAAATTAATTTTTTAAATAAGAAAGATGACTGGGTATGCTTACTTGCCAACAACATAACATGGGGACTGAATTTGGAGGGACGTCTTTTAAGCAAAGGAGGTCTGAGAAGTTTCACAGAGAAAAGTCAAGACTTGATTTGAAGAAACTATGTAAATGGACCAGATAGAGGGATTAAACTATTTATCTCAGACAGCTAGGCTTCGTAGGCGTCTTCTTACCTAATCATAAATTCTCAAAAGCTGTGACTGTTTATCACAAATCCTCCTCCACTTCCCTCTTCAGCCCCACATTCTCACATTAGTTTTCTGAATGCTCTGTTTCCACAGCTTTGAATGTGCTGATTCCTCTGCGCATGACAGTTGTCCTCCATCCCCCACTTTCATCCTCTCGGAAACTTCCCTAGATAATTGCTGATTTTTTTTTCAGGTTTGCATCTCAATTGACCTCCTCTGGGAAGTCTTTGAATGCCTAAGTTTATCATAAATGCTATACACCCTGTAATTTCTTTATAATAATCCTTATAACCATCTGTTTCTTTTGCTAGCACCCTTGGAGTCAGGGGCCTATACCTGCTCATATACACAACCATGGCCTGTTTCAATGTCCTGCATACTTGCAACATTTCACAAAAAATGCTTGTTGAATAAGTTAAAAAGTTATTCTCAACAATTAAAATTATTCTCAGATAATTTATTTTGAAATAGTGAAAAAAAACCAATTATATACATTAGAAGAATTTAACCAGTGTGAAAATGCCAACCTAAACCCAAAAGAGGTGCTAACTTCTTTTACTATTCTATATCGTATCTATAAAAAAGAGATGACAACCTGAGTAGGTCTTGGTTCCTTGTAACCACAAGAGATAAAACTACTACAGACTATAATCCATTTTTAAAAACTAAAAACTGCTACAGACATTTTCCTCCTTTGTGTAATTACTTCTAAACTAAAACATTACTAGAGACCTGCTTCTCAGAGCAAGAAAGTTGGGATAGAGCCCAAGAGTAGGGCACCAGCTTAGGACACACAAGGCCCTGCATTTGATCCCCAGCATATTTAAAGGGGGGAAAAAAGGCTGGAGGCATGGCTCAAGTGGTGGAGCACTGCCTAGTACTGGAAAAGCCCGGAGTTCAAAACCCAGTACTACAAAAAGAAAAAACAAAACAAAACAAAAAAACAAAGTTGGTAATTTTTTTCCTCTAATTATTTCGCACGTAGATGACTATTAATTGAGCAAAAGGTTTTTTTCTCTTTTTAGGAGGGACAGAGAGAACTGTCTATTGCGTATAAAAGAACAGAAGGAACTCTGTTATCCTCCATTCCTTACCTAGACATGACTGAAGCTTGTAAGTGTAGGACAGTTCACCTCACTTTCAAAAAGCAGCACTGTCGTTAAGATTTAGGGTGTGGGGAACCACGTGGTCATTACTCGCCTAATGACAGCAGCATGTGCAGCATACCTGTAATCCCCACAGTGAGGAAGCTAAGAGGAGGATGAGTGTTTGAGGCCAGTTTGGGCTACATAATGAAACCATTTCACATTAAAAAAAAATAATAATGATTAAGGATAATTTTTCTCTGATCCAAGAATTCCTCATGTGCATAAAATCAAACCACATATCACAGAGCTGTTATTCTAAGTTCAAATTATATCTTTATATCATTCTAGAAATGATAAAACCATACTTCAGTATAAATCTAAAACACGTTCTGAGTATAAAATTTTGATAATTGCTTAGTAATTAGAAGTTTCCCAAGCATTCATGAAATACAGCCACTTGAATTTTAAAGGATATTCTTTCAAAGTTTCAAGGCCAATAACCTCAAATCACCATCTGAGAGCAACAACCAACCAGATGACTATCAATATGCTTATTTTATAGGCGGGTATATGGTTTTAAAGAGCTATGGGAATTGTTCAACACCAGGAATACATCTCTGGAAGGACAGGATTAGAACCCAGCTCTCCTGATACACAGTCTAGGGTTCTTTTGGTTGACCATTACTAAATCAATTTTATGATGCTGGTCCAATTTTCATCTGAAAAATATAAAAATCCATTCCTTAACAGAAGCCTAAAACGCTCTTTGAATTATAAAAACTGTAAGTCACAGCCTCAAGTTAAATGGAATCTTCTTTCTCTGGTGATTTAAATTATGTAACCCATCAACAATCAGCCACTCAAAGTCAAGCGTGTAGAAAACGAATATAGGCTTCGCTGACATACTACTGAAGATCGTTACAAACACATGGGAACCCAGAAGGGAGAAAAGAGACGACGGATTGCCCAGCATCAGGTGATTTAACAGAGGATCTTCGCAGCCTATTATGTTGAGACAATGGCTTCAAACTCTGATTTTATGTCACCTATAGCTTGTTTAAAATGGCTGCCAAGGCTCCAGGCTGGAGACAGCCTCAAGATGGTCTGGGGCAGGGGCCAAGGATTTGTATTTGAAGAAGCCCCCTGAAACGATTCCGGTGCACAAATGAGTAGCAGAGGCCTGGTACTCAGGACTCCGAACTACGTGTGTCACACCCGCCGAACCTGTCAGAAATTTGCGTCCAAACCGGTCACACTGGAAGGTGCCTGGCACTTCCGGAAGCAGATTACTTTAGTGGGGATTACCCTACAGAGGGAAAGACCTGCTTCCCACCCCAGGCATAAAAGAGAAAGGCGAGTAATACTGCTGAATCAGTTTGGCTGCTCCCTCTCGTGAATTCAGGAGATGCCTCACTTACACCGGGTCCTAGGCCTTCCGACCTCCATAGGGTCGCAAAGGGTGGGAGGAAACTCCGGATCCGGAGCCGGGTACGATCAGGACTGGAAGGTCCTCTGCTTTCACGCCCTCCCCTCACCTTCCACCCTTCCTCCCGTTCTTCCTGTGACCTTGTCAGGGCTTCGGGGTCGCTCGCTCGCTCGCTTTCCTGTCCCTCCCCACTGGCCGCTCAGCCCTCGCAGTCAGGCTCCGTGGCCGCCCGCCCGCCCGCCCGGTCCCAGAAGCACTGCCATCCCGTCTCTCATCATTGCCCCACCGGCGAATCTCCCCCCCTTTTGGCCACGATTCACGCCACAAGCTTTTCTTTCATCTCCTTTCTGCCTCCGTATCCGCTTACCAGACAGGACCCCAAGGCCTTCCGACCTCTCACCTGATCCTCGAGGCCCGGGCCCCAGCAACTACACGTCGCCCCCTTCATGACGTGCATTCTCCATCAACCCCCAGCCCTCTCTCCCTCGGTCCTTTCGGCCCAGCCAAGCGCTGCCCCACTTCTGCCCGCCCCGCAGTCTGGTGATGGCGGCTCAAATACCCGTCCTTGCTTCACTTACGGAAGATAACAAGACCCCTGGCGACCCAACCGGCTTCTGGCCACTGACTTGAGCACCTGGTCCTGCGGGCTTCTCCCCGTCCCGCCCACAGCCTGCTCTACCCAATCACAAGCCAGCGGCATGAACGCGGGGGAGGCTGCGCCCCGCGTTGCGTGCGTGTGCGCGGTGGGTGGGGCAACCCGAAGCGGGTCTCGGATTGGCTGGGACCCGTAGGCGGGTGGGGCTTCGCTTCTGCTAGAGTGTATGGATCGTGTCAGACGTGAGGGCTGCTCATCCTGGGTTCGTGCCAGGTCGTTTGAGGACTGCTGGCTCCTGTCCCGGGTCACCTCATATTTCTCTCGCCCTTTTACACTCGGGCAGCTGGGGCGAGCGCCGCGAACGCCTGTTCCAGAGCCCTGGCCGCCTGCGGAACTCCGTGCGGGGCTGGGCTGGGGGGCTCGGGGTAAGGGGTTTCTACCTTGGCAGGGCCTCGGGAAGCTGCGAGTGAGGTGGGGGCACGCGATGTCCCCGGGACGACCACTCTTTCCGTTCTCGTGGCGGTTCGCCACGAGCGTGCGCTGTCAAATCGTCTTTGGGGTCCCCTCCCAGAGCTTATTCGCTTATTTGCCAGTGGGGAGCAGCCCGGGTCTGGAGAACTGCGACCTCAATCCAGATTGGGGACGTTTCTCTAAGAAAGGAAGTGTCAGAGGCCCCTATGGCATCCAACTTCCGGGGACAGTTCTGTCCCCGGAATATCTGTGGACATTATGCAAAACACGGACGCGGGCACCGTGGGGCTATTGGTGACTATAGTCTCTTAATATGACAAGGCAGACTGACAGTTGCGCTAGCGTACAGGTAGGTGCTAAGTCCATGGGCTGAGGATTTTGAAAATCACTTAAGACAGGTGTAGGAAACATTTCACTCATGCCATGTAAGATAAATTCAAAACTCTATACCTTGATTATGTAGCGGTTTTCACTACTTTTGAAGGTACATAACGCCTGGTTGATCCTGGATCTCCACAAACATTATTTGTGTTGTGTAGGAACTCAATAATGGTAAATGAAGGAAAGACACTGCTGCAATAACTGGAGGCCTTGAAAGATAAATGGGATAACCAGGGACTCTATTAGGAGTATGAGAGTGGACTGTGCCCTGTTCTGAGTTACTCCATTTGGTGCAGAGCAGTAGCTTTTAGTCTTGTCCCCAGTGACTTCATTTTATAAAGCAGCAGTTGGCTCCATTTTGAGTGCTAAGGGAGAATGACTTCTTACTTGGCTGAGCAAGTAGGTGACCACCAGATGTTAGATACACCTAGCTTATAAAAAAGAACAACCCCCATCTGTCAAGCATAAACCATGAGGCACAGACTTAAAAATAACATGTTTATGTAAATAAAAAATTACCACCTATGATCTTATCAAATTAAATCAGGAACACATGGACACCTGGACACACACCATATCAGAAAAACCAGGCCCATGAGCTTATCAATGAATGATGTAGCCCCCTCAGCTGGATCATATAAAAGGAGGGGCATTGCTAGGCATGTCAGCATAAACCTGTAATCCCAGCATTTGGGAGGTTGAAGCAGGAGGATTATGAGATCCTGAGGTACATGGAGAGACTCAAAAAAAAAAAAAAAAGGAGGGGCACCTAACAGATGCAGCAGCACCCATCATGAGCCCACTCAATGTGTGTGTCGCAAGATGGATAGACAACTCCTGATTCTGTCCCTAGAGTTTCAGCTCAGCAGGATTTCCTCACCTGACTGGCCCACTCAAACTGCTTGCGTTTGTCTGGACACACTGCATCTTGAACCAGCTCTGCACCTGCGCAGCTCAGTGCCCTGAACAGCTCTGTGACTGTGCCTGCACTGACTGCATCTCTATCAGCTCTCTGCCTTTGCCCTCAGTGAAGCCCTTCTCAATCTTAGGACTGCTTTAGATCTTTACTAGCAGTTCTATAACTTAATGTTTGTGAAGTGTAATGTGTAATCTGAGGGTTATTAATATTAGTAATTAAAATAGGAATGGATATAAAAACCCAAGTGATTGCCAAGTGAATCAAGGACACTCAGTGACTTAAAACTGATGAGATTAACATAGCTTTTGAATTTATTGTTATTCAATAAATTCTGACATCATGGAAAGACAAATTTGTCTTAATGGCATATCTTACTCATGATGGATTATTAAAATTAAACAGCCTTATTGACCAATATGAAGACAAACCTGAAGTCAAAGTTCTTCAATTCTGGAACTACAAAGGCTAACAGCAGCAATGACCAAAGCATATTCATTTTTGAAGGGGATTTATACACCTCAAAATAATGTTAACTAACTAGCTAATTTCCAGAGAATGAGATATGAACTCAGCAAGGCCTGAAAGGAAGTTCCTGGTTAGCAACATATTAGCCATGACCTTGGCTGGTCAAAGCTTTTGTGCATGCATGTGTGTGTGTGTGTGTGTGTGTTGCTGGGGATAGAACCCAGGGCCTTGCATATGATAGACAAGGTGCTCTACTACTTGAGCTACATCTCAACCCTTTTGGTTTTTATTTTGATTTTGAAACAGTCTTGCTAACTTTGCTCAAGCTGGCCTCAAACTCAAGATCCTTCTGCTTCCACCTCACGGGTAGCTGAGATTACTGGTGTGAGCCACTTTGCCTGGCTGGCTCCAAGGCCTGTCTTTTGACAAAAGTATAAGAGCCTCATCAGTTTGAGTGAAGGAAGAAAGCATGAACAGAGGCAGGAAAGAAAGTCACAGGAAATTGACAACAATAATGATAGCTGTTTCCCCAGTTCCAAAATACTGCATCATTTTAAAAAACATTGGGATTGTTATAGAATTGGTACAGTTTTCAATTGTGGTGTCTTAGCCTTTGAGTGAGTTAGGAATCAAGTAGTAACAAATAATCTTTTTGTTGAAAATGTTTAAAAAGACTAAAACCTTTTTTTTAGTCTTTTTTTTGGATGGGACCAGAATTTGAACCTATTGCTTTGTGCTTGCAAATCCTCATTCTTTTTTGAAATAAGACACAGACACATCATCGCCCTTTGCTTTCCCTCAGTGTTGCATAATGCAAATCAGTCCTTGTCTGGCTAGGACTGCATTTGGTCATACTTAATGAAATTTAAAATTAATTAATTTTTCCCATGTAGTCACACCTTCAAAGCATTACTTTATGAAAGAGATAAAGTGTAAATGTTTAGGGAAGGTTTAAAAGGACACATTATAATTTTTCTAAAGATTTAAACTGTGTTAATTATGAAATGGCCCTTAAAAATTATCTATATACATTCCTTCTTATTATGAAAATATAGATTTTGAGAGTTTAAGTGGATATTGAGGTAAAATCTGAATAACTGAGCCCTCTTCAGCACCAACTCCAGGTCATGGGATCAGATCTTTTAGTATTGCAGTGTAGCTTAAAACTTGAAATATCAAAACTGGCACTTTTTAGCCTTCTTTTTTTATTTTTGGGACTGGGGTTTGAACACAGGGCTCCACACTTGCAAAGCAGGTGCTCTACCGCTTGAGCCATACCTCCAGTCCATTTTACTCTAGTTATTTTGGAGATGGGATCTCAAGAACTGTTTGCCAGGGCTGGCCTGGAGCCACAGTCCTCCCTCCTTATCTCAGACTCCCAAATAGCTAGGATTACAGACATGAGCCACCATGTCTTCAGCCTTCTCTTGCTCCAAATCCTAGCTGTGATAAAGTGGTTGATGAAAACACTTATGTAATGTGAACAATACTGTTGATGCTAAATTTGATTGAAATAAAGTTCTAAAATTTATTCATTTATCATCAGGGCCATTGGAACAAAATGTGAATGATGAAAGCAACATAATTTTGCAAATAAAAATCTGTCCCAAGGGTTTTTTTGTTTTGATCTGTTTTTAAATAAGTTTGTTATAGTGGATCATATTAACCTGTTTCATTCTGCCCTGAATCATGTATTCCAGAAATATAAATTCAAGAGTTTGTAATTCTAGCACAATATGCCTTTATTGTTTTCTGCTCTGTTACAGCTCTGACAAGGAAAAGAGTGTAGAATTTGTTCCACTGTAAGGTGTTAAGTTTTCACAGCACTGTTGATGACCTCAGTCTCATTCTGGGCGCTTAATTTCTCCTTGTAAATTAGAACAAGTCCCACCTTTCTCAGGCTTACTGTAATAACCATGGACATCTGTCTGTGCCAAATTATTTGAGGTTTTGTTGCCTATTTATGTAAGAGATTATCCTTTTGATTAGTAGGCAGTAAACCAAAATCTTGGAAAATGTTAATTTTCCAAGAAAATTCAGAAGACTTTGTTTTATTTTTTGTGGTGCTGGAGATTGAACCTATGGCCTTGCACATGCTAGGCAAGTGCTCTACCCTGAGCTACGTTCTCAATCCAAGAAAACTTTTCTAATTCAATTTTTATTAGCATATTAATTATACAAAATAGTGGGTTTCATTGTCACATTTTCATACATGCATATAATGTGCTTTGGTCATACCCTGCTATTATACTTTCTTGTCCCCTCTATCTCTTCCCACTGGTCTCCCAGACACTTTTTGTCTTTTTTTGCAGTGCTGGGGATTGAACTCAGGGCCTTGTGCATCCTAAGTAAGACCTCTACCACTTGAGCTATGTCCCTAGCCCTTTTTAAAATGTTGTTGTTGAGATAGGGTCTTACTAGTACCTTTGCCCAGGCTGGCCTTGAACTTGGGATTCTTCTGACTTTGTCTCTCTAGTAGCTAGAATTACAGACATGAGCCACCATTCCAAGCTTCCCAGAAGAGTTTTTAGATGGAGATTATTCTGCTGTGCTTTATTCTATATCATGTTATCAGAAAACAAACATAATTGGTAACAAAAATTCAAGATGTATTATTCCATTTTCCTTACTGTGTGTCGTTTTGAAATATAATTGATGCAGAAGAGACTTATTTGGGTTCTCAAGTACTAAATCAATTCACCTGTGGTTTATAGAAAGAAAAGCAATACAAGA